AAGATACTTTATTATATGAATACTTTCAATGTACATTTATTTTCTCACTTAAATTCCTATAGCAATTCTGTGATATGTTGTGGTTCTTCTTTATAGATGTGAAAAGTGGTCCACAATGTCAGTTGGGGGAACATATTGGTGAACTCTAAGAATTAATAGGTAGCAGAAGCTGTGTGCAGTAATCCCAGCTACTCAAGAGGCAGAGATGGGAAGGATCATGGTTCAAGGAGAGCCTGGCCAAAAGGTCCCTGAGATATCTCAACCAATAAAGCTCAGTGTGATGGTGTGTACTTGTCATCCGAGTTAGATAGAAGTGTAAATAGGAGGCTCTCAGGCCAGCCCAATCATAAAAGAGAGAGACCTTATCAGAAAAATAAGTAAAGCAAAAGAGGATTGATGGTATGGCTCATGTCATAAAATACCTGCATAGTAGAATAGGCAGAAAGCCCAATGCACACATGTAATAACAGATGTAATAACATCACTGTGGACTGATTGTAGCAGTATGGTTGCTGATGCTTTCTAGTTATTTCAGTTATGAGGAATGAAAAACAAGCCTTCATTCCTCAGAACTGAAACTCACTAACAATCTAGCACTTGTTTTGAGCAAAATCCCTCCTGCCCCCGAGCAAAATTTGAGTCTAACTTCTTTTTTGTCCTTAATGGTTTAATTCTCAAAAGACAAAAAAAATGGTTAACAGCTTCATATAATAATAACTAAAATCATTAAGTTTTATATTTACAAGCATCATTTGTATCCTTTCTTATCATGATAGAACAGCTATAAGATAGAAGTCATCTCCATTTTACACATGCTAAAGCGGGGTCTATTAACTTAAGCAGGTCCAACAGCTGCTAAGGTATTTGAACCAAGGACTTTTATTTCCAATTCTCTGCACTAATTCCCAGATACTAAGCTGCGTATGCACACACATCCATTGTACAAAATAGAAAGAACAATGAAGCACTTAAAAAGTGGAGCTATGAGCCAGACACTGGTGGTTCACATCTGTAATTTTATCTACTCAGGAGCCTGAGATCTGAGGATTGAGCTCTAAGCCTGCCTGGGCAGGAAAGTTAGTGAGCTGCTCCTCACTCAAGTGGCATAAGTGATAGAGTACCTGCCTTGAAAAACAAAAACAAAAACAAGCAAAGACAAGATGCCCTGAGTTCAAGTCTCAGTACTGGCACAAAAAATACATATAATGAAGTTATTTTTATTCTTCCCATTAATGAGTATACAATTGAGGCATATTTTATATGAGTGTTTTCTTGTACTGTATAGTGTTTCACTTACACTTTGCTGCTTAAATATTGCATTTTTCCAAGCATATGAATAGAAAATGTCCAGTTGTCTGAAAAGACCAGATTGGCACAATATGAGGCCTTTGTTTACTCACTAAATAGACACAACTTGTGCCCTGCCAACTGCTTTGTCCACAGCTTAATGAACCACCAGTATAAGTGATTAGATAATTAATTCCATACTCAAGTTTAGCCTTGGAATATTCTGCTATGATTTAATCAGATATCAAAGAAGAAAGTAGAACAGTGGTAGCCTGAGGCTGAGGGTTGGTTAGAGAGAATGGGGAGATAGCTGTTAGTTAAAAGGTGCAAAAATCTCATTTAGAGAGTATGCATAAGTCTGGAGAGCTATCATACATCATGGTGATTATACTTAATAATAATGTATTGTGTACTTGAAAATTACAAACAGATTATATCCTAAATGTTCTCACCACAAAAAAGGTAAGCATTGCAGGCAATGGACAGGTTGATTAGCTTGATTTATTCATTTTATAAGTGCACATGCAGCAAAACACCACATTGTACAATTTTTGTCTATTCTATTGTAATATAGCTTGGAGGTAAGATTAAAACAGATGTCTTTGAGGTTGAAAAATACACCACTCACTGAATTAGGTTGAAGCCACTGAGATAAGGTGGATATTTACTCTAAAGCATTGCATTTAGAAGTGTCACCTATTAGAAGTTTCTTATTGTTCAGTATCTTGTTATTAGTATATGTTCATTGTAGAAAATGGTGGGTTTCACGTGACACTTTCATGCATGCATATGACATTATTTTGATCCTAATCACCCCTACGTTGTCGCTACCGCCTCTACCAGCAAGGAAGACGCGACACCGAACTCTTCTCTCTGCAGTTTATTCAGGACCTTTGAGCAATCTTCTGACCCCAACCCCGGGGAGAATTCCCCACAGCCTTAAGTACCCGCTGGGTAGCCAACCCAGATAAGCCACGTGGGAACCACCAATAGGTTCAGGTGCGCGGAAGCAAGCCAGATTCTTTGCCTTAGCCATATAAGGAGTTGTTTACCACAGAGAGCACTCGCCATCGGGAAGTTGGAGGGCGGAAGCCGGCGCCATCTTCCAGGTGCGGCTGCACGCAGCTCTCTACATACGTAACTTTCTCTTGTCTATTGGGAGTTTCATAAATACAGGAACTATTTGCAGGAAAGAACTGTAGTGTGTACTCGGGATTTCTGAAGTGTGTGTGTGTGTGACTATTTAAAGTGGTGGGACTCTGAATAATTTCTCTGGCTCATTCGTTTCATTTCAGATTGAAAATTTATGTAAGATAATAGTTTCCTTCTGAGAGAAGAAAAGAAAGTGATTCTTCAAGTATTCCTAAGCAAAGAACTAACATAGGAATTCATACTAGGGCTATATTGTTGACAGCAAGTTAAAATATCAAAGAAGGCTGGGCACTGGTGGCTCAAGCCTATAATCCTAGCTACTCAGGAGGCTGAGATCTGAGGATTACGGTTCAAAGCCTGCCCAGAAAACTGGAAGTGGTGCTGTGGCTCAAGTGTTAGAGTGTTCACATTGAGCTGAACAGCGCAGACAGCGCCCGAACCCAGAGTTCAAGCCCCACGACCAACAAAAAATAAAATAAAAATAAATAAAATATCAAAGAAGTCAAGACTGATTCCTCCTATATAAGAGCCTTTCCAATTCACAAACCTTCCTTATTCACAGACTGTTTCCATACCAGTAAATAGTAATCAAACAATATGTCAACTAGAACTCTGGCTATAGTTACAGTAAGGTATAGGAAGGAGAATTCACATAGAGCTTTATTTCTGAAATAAATAATAATAGAAATATTTATTTCTATAAATAAATAAATCACCTCCTCATCCATGCTGGGATTATAAACTACTTAAACATAGGCAGACACTTGTTAGGTTTTTCAACACTGACACTGGAAGAGATGGAATTGAGTTTTCCTAAGTATTTTTAGTTAATTTGTTGACAGAAACTTGCAACGTTGGAAGCTGTGTCTATGTCCTATGATGAAATTGATCTGTTAGAAACTTAAGTGTGTATGGGCTACACAACTTCTAAAAATTGATTCAGATGACCTTGTCTCAGTTAGTACCAAAATTTGGTCTAGGGCTGTCACTTGTTCCCAACCAGTTGGTAGACACAGGAAGCAGAGGGAGCCTGGGTTACATATATCACCTGAAGTGAGGACATTGCTTTCCAGAGAGGTTAGCTCCTACCACGGTAGCATGCTCTCTATTTCTAAACTGTCTAAATTTGGTTTGCAGGAGATTATTTCGTGATCCTGATGTGCTTCCTGCATCTGTTTAGTCTGAAATGCTTCTGAAAACAGTTTTCAAAATCCTCTTGTGATTTTCTAATCTTTCCTAATACATGAACTGCTTAAAATGTAACTCCTTTAAAAAAAAAAATCCTGGCTTCACAAATGCAAACAAATGTGTCTTAAAGATAGATTGTTTAAAAAAAAGAAAAGGATGGGGGCTGTGGTATGTACAGGTGAGTGGTGGATGGCATGCGTGATAGTGAGCTTTTCATTCATGCTCTGCACAGAAAATTCCAAACTGTGTCATCTTGCTACTTTCTTGAGAAAATTTAAGACATTTTAATTACAGCCATTATTTATGTTGGATTTGAGCAAAATAAGTGTATTCTACTCCCTCTGCTGGCTCAGAAATAGCAACAGCTCATTAAACAGAACTATCTGTAGATGTGGGTCACCATCTAAAAGAAGTAAAAATAAAATAAAATAGTGAATGTTGAAAAAGGAAACAAAAGCTAGAAAAGCTATTAATTTTATTATTCCTTTAAACTGTCAGCAAAATAAATGTCTGCCCAAGGCAAATTTACCCAAAGATAAGCAAGACAGCCCGCAGTGTTCAGACTCTTTGGTGCTTTATTGAGAGAGAGCTGAGATGTGGTGCCAGGGTAGGAGCGGCTCTCTTTTCCCCAAGACATATGTACCAGCCTCTTCAATTGACTCCGTTCCCTTCAGAGCTTAAGGAACAAACTAGATTACTATGTTTAGTGTGTCTCAAACAATCTATCTAGTGTGTCTCAAACATTTATTGGGTTTGGGATACAAGACAAGGGAGATAGAAGGCTGGTTCTCTGTTGGTGTCAGAAAGGAGAGCTGAAGGGGCATCACTTGGAAGTATACACCGTAGAGAGGCCCCTTGCCTGCATAAAATCATGTTACCCACAAGCCTGGAAAAGGATCATAACACTATAATATTGAATAGCCAGTGGGATCCACAAAGCAATGGTTCTACTAATGAGAGAGGAGAGCCCATCCGAAGAGGAAACTGCCTCATGTTCTATTTCACTCCTTTGAGGATGTGGGGGGCAGCAAGGAGATAATGAGGCTTGAACACCAGGCTTTGCACTTTTGCTGCTCTTTTTCACCTAACCTAGCACTCTGCCACCTGATCTAGGCCTCCACTAATGACTTTTTGCTGGTTAGTTGGAGATAAGAGTCTTTGGGTTTGTCTGCTCTTGCTGCCTTTGAACCTGGATCTTCAGATCTCAGCCTCTTGAATAGTTAGGCTACCTAGAAGGTCTGAGCCAGGAGCTCCTGGCTCTGTCTCCCTCATGTTAATAGGCATATGAGTGGGTTTTTGTTTTGTTTGTTTACTAAGTTCATCTTCTGCTTGGTCTTTGGTCTCATCCATTACTTGCTCATTTGCTTCTACAGGCGTCTGGATGCCAACCACATCAGCTATGTGCCCCCCAGCTGCTTCCGTGGCCTACATTCCCTGAGGCACCTGTGGCTGGATGACAACGCGTTAACAGAAATCCCTGTCCAGGCTCTCAGAAGTTTATCAGCATTGCAAGCCATGACCTTGGCCCTGAACAAAATACACCACATACCAGACTATGCCTTTGGAAACCTCTCCAGCTTGGTAGTTCTGTAAGTTTTATTGATTTTTGTTCTCTCCTACAACAGTTTTTAAGTTTTTAAATTCACTCTGAGACCTTGGCCCTAACATGCTGATTCTTCAAAGCCTGAATGGAGACATTTAAAGGGAGGAACTCCCGGCTCTAGCACCTTCCCAGAAAAACATAAATGTTCCAATTGTGTAAATGGCTTAAGCAACATTTGTCAAGTACCTGATAAGTGCCAGGCACCACTGGGCATACAAAGATAATATGACTTCTGCCTTAGTGAAGCCCTTTGTATATTGTACAAGAAATCACCACACTATAGGCTTAGCAAGGCAACCAGAGTTCATAGGTTTTTATCTTTATAATTAATAGTTCAGGTCAAATTGAAAGGTACCTTTATTAGATAATTATATATTAATGATCTCTAATCAATACTTCTTCCTTGCTTATGTATGTGATTCTGAGGATCAAACCTAGGCCCTCTCTAATGATAGCCAAGCCTTAATAATTACTTACTTTTTTATTAATATATATATTTATATATTAGTACATGTACTTTTTTAGTTTTTCTGGTGATATATTTTTAAAGAATAGTACTTTTTTATTGTCAAGGTGATGTACAGAGGGGTTGCAGTTACATAAATACAGTAATAAGTACATTTCTTGTCAAACTTGCTACCCCTTCCTTCATTTTTCTCCTACTTTCCCTCCCCGCAAGAATAATACTTCTTAAGCTAAGAAAGAGAAGGGAGAAACAACCCTTGAAGAACTATACATAAGTATAGCTTTTTCCCCTGTGAGGCCTAGATTTCATTATTTTGGTAAATCAAAACAATTCTCAACTAAGTAATCGCTTGAAAATAATCATGCTTCTTTAAAAACAAAGTCATGTACCCCCAGGTATAAAAAAAGAAAAAAACAGCTGATGGATGTTGATCGAAGAAAACCACTGCTTCTTGTAAGGCTTTGAGATAGTTTCCTACATGTGTGAGCTAGCTTTCCATTGCTGCGATAAAATATTTGAAATAAACAACTTCAAAGAAGAATAGTTGATTTTGCCTCCTAGTATCAGAGGTTTCCATCTATGGTCATTGGTCCCATTGCTTTTGGACCTGTGTCAAGACAGAACATACTGGTAGGAAGTGCATTGTAGGACAAAACAAAGTGAGAGAGAGAGGGGAAAGGTCTAGGGTCACAATATCCTCTTCACAGGCAAGGGCCTAGCTTCTTACAACTTCCTAATCCCACTTTTTACAGGCATTTCGACCTTCTAACGCAACATGGGCATCTATGGGCTAACTCATGACAGTTATAGAGTCTTTAACAAAGCTTCCTCTGAGCTACCACTGCCTTTGCTCCATGTTTGCTTACAGGCCCACTTGCTGCCTTCACTTTACTATATGTCTGCCACTTCCACTGTGGTATGTACTTCTCTGAGAGCATGTTTTTTTGGTCTCCTTCTGTCCCCTTCCTCACCTGATACATACTCACCTAAAATCAAAATGCATATATTAAAACAAAGATCTTTCCCCCACAGTATAACCCCTGCTTTCACTGTATTTGATGTCGGTATAATTTGTGGAGGGGAAGGGGAAAAAACAAATCATTTAAATAGGGATACAGGAGGACCCATTGCAATGATGAGATGTACAAGTCGTTATGTCGAAAACGAACTTTACAACTTTGGGGGGGGGAGGGCCGGGGAATATTGGGTGGGGGTGGGGGGTGAGGATGGAAAGGGATGGGAAGGGATGGGAGGGGGAAACAAAGGAGGAGGCTACAATGCTTGATAAGAAATGGACTCATTATCTTGCCCATGTAATTGTAACCCCTCTGTACAGTGTGTTCACAAAAATAAATAAATAAAATTTTGTACTCATTATCTTGCCCATGTAATTGTAACCTCTCTGTATTTTCACAATAAAATAATAATAATAATAAAAGAAAAAAATAAAATAAAGATCTTAGTCTGGAAAAAAATTGGGGGAGAAATTAGCAAATATCTGTACTGAATTTCACATAGATAGATGATGCAACTGACTGACCAGAAACTGGTTGTGGCCCTTAATATTTGTTCCTCCATTAGAAGAAAGGAATTTACAGAAATTCAGCTTTTTTGCTTTTTACACCCTGTCTCCCTTAAACCCATTTTTTGACATCTCTTTGGGTTGGGTTCCATTTATAGTCATAGACATGACTGTCTATGGGCTCTGGCCTTCCTAACGTACCAACTGATCGCAGGATGGTTGTACACGTTAATATTGTGTCAAGATAACTAATCTTTTTTTATTGACTTTTTTCACCCATGAATGGATAGTTTCCTGTACTGGGTGTTGTTTTTTTCTTTTCTTTTTTTTTTTTATTGTGAAAATACCGTACAGAAGGGTTACAGTTACATGAGCAAGGTAATGAGAACACTTCTTATCAAGCATTGTTGCTTCCTCCTTTGTTTCCCCTTCCTATCCCTTCCCATCTCCCCCCTTCCCCCTCCCCCACCCCTCCGCACCAAATTTGTAAAGTTCATTTATTCAACATAACGTCTACACAATGGAATTCTATGCACCCATCAGAAAGAATGGCGTTGCCCCATTTGTTAGGAAATGGAAAGACTTAGAAAAAATTGTATTAAGTGAAGTAAAGTAAGCCAGGCCCAAAGAAACATGGGTCCCATGCTTTCCCTTATTTTCAATAACTAGTATATGTCTGAGACAAGCAGAAAAGGTCAGATAAGTTGATGTTAGGTGAAATGAACCCCAAAATAAGGACTCAAATGGTTTTTCTTTCATGCTATTGTTTCTAACATATTTATAAGATGATTTCTTTGTTGCTTTATATGTCCCTCCCCCATGGTATAACCCCTGTTTTCACTGTATTTGATGTTGGTATAATTTGTGGAGGGGAAGTGAAAAAACAAATTGTTTAAATAGGGATACAGGTGAACCCATTGCAACAATTTGAGAGGTACAAGATAACTAATCTTGAGCAGCCAAAAAAAAAAAAAAAAAACCTCGAAAAACCAACCTAATCACTATTCTATGTTACTAAAATAGTAACATAGTTTCCCATTGTCTGGTGGCACAACCCTGAGATATAGCCATTATAAGTGTTCAACTTCAAGAGAAACCAGGTCAAATACATCTATGACCTTTCCTTTCTCTGCCACCTATCAATGCCAGTTTCACAAAACCATGCTGAACAAACCATATTGAAAAATATGCTAGAAATGCTGAATTCACTTAAGTCAATCATGTAGCTCATATTATTCTGTATACTCCCTGATATATCAAGCCTGAACACTAAAACTGAGATTATCTTTTACAGTCTATGGATCCAAATCAGCCTATAATATGAGGAAATGAGGCATAGAGACTTTCTTATAATTAGTGGGTTCTTTTTTGTAATTGTCTCTGGATTTCAGCAAGCAATCAACATGTTGTTCCTAACTGTTCTGTGTGCAGTTAGCCTTCCTGACTGTCTGTACCATTCTCCAACAGCCATCTACATAACAATAGAATCCACTCCCTGGGAAAGAAATGCTTTGATGGACTCCACAGCCTAGAGACTTTGTGAGTTGACCTTTTATTTGTTTCCCTTTTTTTAGTGTTTTCATGAATATTCTGAAGGAATCAAAATAACCTTAAAGCCAAACTTGCTGTTTGCTTGGGTTAATTGCCTTAGGCATATATTTACAGTGGTTTTATCTTATATACACACACAGAGACACACACACAGACACCAAACTAAAGAGAAAAACTGAGATTTTATTTTATCTCATGAGAATAATAAATTAGAATAATTATAAGTTACATGAGAAGCTCTCTACTAAGCAGTGATCATGTGTTCTCTGTCAAAGATCACTCTGTATTATCAGTCAGGCTCAATATTCATGAGTTTGGTCCCCCCTGTTGGATGACAGTGCAGACTAGTCCAATGCCTGAGACTTCAGTCTGAGATGAACAGGTATTTCATGAGGTTAAAGCAATTGAAAAGACTAAAAGCCAATCACAGCTACCATTTATTACATGTACGTACACACTGATGTATACATGCACTGATGTTTGATCATTTTTTTTTTGTTTGAATCACTTTTGTAAGCATCCAATGGGAGCACCTATTACTTGGGCTCTAGTGAGGTTATCTTACAAACATTGCATTTTTGTTCACTGGCATAATTAGGGTTTGCTTCCTTCTCTAGTCTGATTTTATGTTTATCTATACACTCTTTCTAAAGAATAGGTCAAAAGTTTAATATTCTGCAAAAGATAATAGTACAGGGGTTTTGTGTTATTTTGTTTTGCCAATCCTGGGGCTTGAACTCAGGGCCTGGACACTGTCCTTGAGGTTCTTTTGCTGAGGGCTAGCACTCTACAACTTGAGCCACAGTGCCACTTCTGGCTTTTTAGGTTTATGTGGTACTGAAGAATTGAACATGGGACTTTATGCATGCTAGGCAAGCATTCTACCACTAAGCCACATTCCCCGCCCAATAGTACAGGTTTATAGTCCAAGATTCTCAGGATACTGAGGCAGGAGGATCACATGAGCCCAGAGTTTTCAGACCAGCAACATAGTGAAATCCCCATATCAAAAAAAAAAAAAAAGAAAGAAAGGAAGGAGAGAAAGGAAAAGGAAGGAAAAGGGAAGAAAAGAAGATAAATTTGTTTTTCATTGGTACCCACAATATAGCAATGAATCTGGCCAGTTGATCATAGCCTAGATTCTTTCCCAGAGCCACAGTAGAGATTCTCAGTGCCACACCAGGGCCCCAGCCTTTTGTCAGTGGAGGATCTTACTCTACATTGTACCACAGAGTGGGAGAAGTATAATGAAGGTAGGGTGGCAGGATCATGAGTATGCTGGAAGAGAAGGGGATTGTAGTGATACCTTGTCCCCATTCCCATATGTTTAGTATTGCAATACAATAAACTGTAAGGACACTGAGTGGACAATGTTGGCTATGACTAGAACTGCAGGAGATGACCAAAGACACCTTGTACTTGACCTTGGGACTCGTTGCTCAATTGCATACAGAGCTTAGTCAATTTAGCATATAACCAGGTCTGGATCTCCTAACTTTCTAGGAGCCCATCTTTATCTTTTGTCCTCTTGTAACCTACTAGCATTAATGACTTTCCTTCCAGGAAACAGGAACATATCCTTCCAGGATTCCATAAATCGTTGTTTACTCATAGATGTAAAAGATGAACTTATCTGGTTAGGACCTTGATATCAACTTGTATGGCAAAAGCAAGCAGTTCCCCACAGCTACTAGGAAAAAAGTGAGAACTTCTCTCTTACCTGTGCAAGTTCAGGCTAGCGATCACTTTGTAGTCTTTTTACTCCAACAGGACAATAAGAAAAAAACCACGAAATGAGCTTTGATGGGCATTTTCATTTTTATTTTTTTTAGTTTCAATTGAGTTTATTTTCTACTTTCTTTTTATTAATTTTTTATTGTTATTGTAAAGGTGGTGTGCAGAGGGGTTACAGTCTCCTGTCAGGTAAAGAGTTCATTTCTCTCTGGACAAGGTCACACCTTCCTCTGCTCTCTCAGTTTTTCCTCCTGTCCCTGCCCTCAAGTTGCTTAGTTCATTCTCAACATAGTGTCCAGTGAATACCATTGCTGCAGTTTTTCACCCTTTGCCCTCCATTTCGGTGCCTCACCTTACATTCCAAAGATATATGTGAGGAGCATTTTCATAGGTTTTCTTTTTGCCCCAAATCCAAGTGATCACCCAGGCGTACCCATAAATATCACAAAACCAAACATTTCAGGGAAAATTCAGGAGTCTTATTGTCTCCCCCCTGCCTTGCCCAGGGCTATAAAGGATCAGTAAATTGGCTATTTCCAACCTCTTCCTTTCCTGCACAGAAATCCAAGAAATTTATAAGGGTTCAATCCCTGTTTAATCAAAACAGAACATCTGGAGAGATTTACAAACAGGAAGAAAATTTATGTCCACAAAAGACACGAGTTTCCTGCCTGCAGTATAGCTTAAGGATAGTTTGTGCCAGACAAGTAGAAATCTTGATTCATGTTTAGCTCCATCGAATTATCTTACTCTTAAAATTAAATAGCATTTCTTCTCCTAACCACAGCTGATTGCCTTACCAAAAGGTTTTTCTCTGTCATTTGGGAAATCTGCTATTCCCAGAAACCAGGAGGCAATTGCTTTTTCATACAAAGATTCAGATTATAAGGTAGAGTAGGCCTATAAAACACTTGTGAGTAATGGAATTGAAAAACCATTTGTGTCATAACAGATAGATTAATGATTTGAGGTTGTCTGGTCCTTCCATCTTTGGGTACAAGGGATAGTATAGAGATTTGCCTCATAGACCAAAACATCAGACTTCAGATAGAAATTGTTATTTGTGACCCTGAGGAAATCCTAAACTAGATGTCCTTGTTGAGAGCCATAAACCTCTACAGCAAACAGGACTCATCCTGGACTTCAGGCCAGGGAGAGGTACAGGCTGTCCATAAGTCAGGAACAAAGCAGCATCACAAGATGTCCTGATTCCAAGAAGGGAAGGAAGAAAGGAACTGGAAAGGGGATGTGACGCAAAGCCCCAAGAGTGCAAATACAAACGAGTAATTTAATGAGCCTGGTTCAGATGAAGAGCTCCATCAGCAAGCTGTCAACACCCCACTAAGCAAGCTTCACTTCTTCCCGGAAGTTAATGCTGCTGTAGGTCCTTCCCTTATTTCAACGCTCCATTGCCCTGAGCCTTGCTGAAATTTCTCTTCATCAGCATAATGACCATTTGAAGGCAGGTGTTTCAGGGACATTAGTGGTCAGCAAGCCAAGAAAACCTCTCCAGAAAGAGGAGGAATGGAAAACTTCAACACTGATTTGCATCCATTAGAATAGAACTTTGACTCCCTTGTAAATAAAGTATATTTGAGGGTTTGGAGGGGTTTTTTGTTTGTTTGTTTTTTGTTTTCTGTGGGTGCTTAGGCTTGAACACAGGGCCTGGTCATTGTCCCTGAGCTTTGTCACCATTGGCTAGCACTCTACCACTTTAAACCACAGTGCCACTACTGGTTTTCTGGTAGTTAATTAGAGATAAGAGTCTCACAGACTTTCTTTACCCAGGCTGGCTTCAAACCACAATCCCCAGATCTCAGCCTCCTAAGTAACTATGATTATAGGTGTGAGCCACCAGAGCTTGGTTTTTAAATGAGTTATTAAATGAAACACTGAACATAACTGTTTCCTTATTTTCAGAGATTTGAATTATAATAATCTTGATGAATTCCCCACTGCCATCAGGACACTTTCCAATCTTAAAGAACTGTGAGTATTTAGGATAGTTTCAATGAAAGAAACATTCTTTGTACGTCTCTTTTAAAATATGCATGACTATTGTCCATAATTATAATTGGCCTGAAAAATATGTTTAAAAATAACATTAATAATGGTTAAGTATATTGAAATGTTTCAATTGATTGCTATCACCAGCAAATTTCAGATCCTTTATTTATTAAAGGGTTCCCAAATCTACATGTAAGCAATATCTATTTCATATGTCTCTAAGCAGTACTCTTTTCTCTTTGCTTAAGCAACACATATTCCCATAACATTTATATATTTTATAAATATGTAGTAGAACTACAATAGCTTTCATTTATTTGCTGAGCATTTCTAGGGATCCAAATGTTTCTAGGTTGCATAAGTGTAGAACTGGATGAATAAAATATACTCTCTCTGTCTATATACATATATATATATATTCCTATGTATATTTCTATGTGAATTTTATGTATATATATTTATATATTGTTCTATAAATGCTGAATTAATCTTATTTTTTTAAACAACACTATTTTCCTAAGGAAAAGCTAGCTTTCAGCCTCTAGATTACAATTACATATGTTGTCTTTTAGAAAATAAGCTTTAGTTAGCTTTATTTTTTTTGTCAGTCATAGGGCTTGAACTGAAGGCCTGGACACTGTCCTTGAGCTTTTACACTCAAGGCTGGTGCTCTGCTACTTTGAGCTACAGTGCCACTTCTGGTTTTCTGGTAGTTAATTAGAGATAACAGTCTTATGGATATTTTGCCTGGGCTGGCTTTGAACCATGGTTATTAGATCTCAGCCTCCTGAATAGCCAAGATTACAGGTTTGAGCCACCAGCACCCAGCTAGCTTTTCTTTGTACTTAAATAGATGAATAAGGAAATTCTAACATTTCAAGAAGAAAACAAACTTCAAGCCTTATTGCCCCGGCAGTAAGAAATAAGACACATAGTCAAAGAAAATAGACAGGAGAGCTTGTTTATAACAAAAAGCCTTCAGGAGTTATGCCTCAAGAAACCCACAGTGGCTTTGCTGGGCTGTCTTCAGTATATCCTGCCCAGGTCAGGCAGCCTTAAGACTACCACTTACCTCACACACAGCTACAGGCCCCCGTAATGCCCTTGATTCTGCCCTTCTATCATTCAATCAGAGAGATGAGTGTCAATTTATTATTACAGACTTTCTGAGTCCAGGAGTCAGGAAATATTGTCCTCTCAGGAGATTATTGAAATCTTTACTTCACTGCAGCTTAAGTCAATTTGCTCTTTTTCTGGCTTCAAACCAGGTCAGGAGAAGTGATCCTAATCTCTCCAAAGATAGTTCCCACTCCTCAGACTCTTACACAACAGAGCTCTACTGTGTATTAACAGATGGATTTTTCATTTTATAACATTCGATGATAAATTTACATAAACACCAGTCTGATCTGCGGCATCTCTTTCAATATGACACCCTGTGATGTCTTTTTCTCCTTGACAAGTGTCAAGAAGCAGAAAAGAACCACCTTGTACTCTGTTTAGTAATGTTGCTCATTCTTACGCCTGTGAGAGTGGGAAGGGCTAGTAAGTCACTTTTACCCCACACATGATTCTTTAATAAGTTTTTTCCTCTCTCTTTTTCTAGAGGATTTCATAGTAACAATATCAGGTCGATACCTGAGAAAGCATTTGCAGGCAACCCTTCTCTTATAACAATGTAAGTGACACCATGCTTTTGGGTTTGTTCTTCCTGAAATATAGCCATATGTTGTGCTTTTAAATATAATGCAATGAATGTTCTGCATTTGCCTGAGTTTTGTCTCAGGTGTTGTAGCCATCTCTACAGAGACATGGACATGGACATGTGTGCCAGATTTCAATTAAGTTTTTTTTTTAAGGCTTTGTGATATCTGCTGCATTATTCTTGGTATCTTCTGATGCCTTGTTAATCTTATAAATGCTTTGGTTATCTCTATTTTGGTTATCTCTATTTTCTACGACATGAAATTGATTTTTAAAACACCAGTGTTAGTCTGTGTAGTCATTCAGGGCTTCAACCCCAGAGTTCTAGGACTAGAAACTGTTATACACAGGAGGGGGTCTTTGCAAGCAATTGATTGTGGCCTAAATTGATGGAAGCACGTAGGATGGGGGAAAAAAATGTTGTGTGTGTGTCTCTGTCCATTTATTGTCAATCTCAAACATGAAGATTTATATGCCATAAAATAATAAAAAATAAAGTTATGAAGAAAAAGTGAAACTAATTTGATTTCACATTTGGCATGAAGAGATTTATGCTATACACATATATAAGATTGTAAAGATGCATAGATATTCGACTGACTAGTAGTAAAAGACACCTGACCAAGTCAGGTATAGGGCATAGTATTTGCTTGGGGTCACTAGTGAAGGATTATTTCTTGACAAATGTCCTTCTTGTGTCTATTTGACACTGAACTTTTTGGAACCATGTAGCATTTGTCACAAATGATCAGGAGTCCCAATTAGCCCCAAGAATTGAAACACTAGACAAAGCTAACACAAGAGTTAATCATCTCTGAAATGTTCTGGAAATATTTTGGCAAACGAAAGGTTTGGGAGTGTACTAGCCAATAAACATTAGTCCTCATTAGAGAATATTTACATATTAAAAAGGTTGGCAAATTGCCTGGCCTTGATGTCACTTTCCTTGTAGCCCTGAGGTTAGTTTTTAATCACTCTTTTGATATGCTAATGTAGCCCGTGGAGCATTAACAGGCCCTTGAAGGTGTTTTGAGTTTCGAGCCAAAATTTGACCGTGTTAGCCACTTTCTCCTTGAAGCTCTCTTCTCAGAGCTTTTGCATCCCGTTCATCTCACCACCACATTCCCTTCTGATTCTCTCATTTCTGAGGATAACCTTCCAAGGCCTGTGGCCTACCCAATCAATCCCGAATCCCCTTTTCTACCCCCATCCCTTGTGTGTGTGTGTGTGTGCGCGCGCGCGCGCGTGTGTGTGTGTGTGTGTGTGTGTGTGTGTGTGTGTGTACTGGAGCCTTGAACTCAGAGCTTTGGTGCTCACTGTCCCTTAGCTTCCTCCCCATCCATCCTCAAGCACAATCCTCAGATCTCAGCTTACTGAACAGTACTCTTTTTATCTCCCTTACCAGCCTCTTCACTAGGCAGCTCTCATTTCTTGATTTTTACCAATGCAGATGAAGCTGCCTCCTTCTTCTCTCCCCTAAATGCAAGGTCACAGCATCGATCTTGTCACTCCTTTACTGTTAAACAGACATTGGGGATTGACTCTTGACATGAAATAAAACTCCTGACCCTGACATTCACAGCCCTCCACAGCCAACTCTCCCAACCACATCTCCATAATTCCCCCAGTGAGACCATAAATGAGACTAAGCACTATGATCACAGAATGAAGCTCTTTCTCTCCTTTGTTCCCAGGATTCTATCCCTTCACTAAACTGATTGGAATTCTCTCTTCCAAGACCCATCTCAAATGCCATTTCAAAGTTCCTATTTTTTTTTGTTTCATACTCTTCTCCCTAATGCATGTGAGAACTACCTCCAGAGAACCCTGGAACTCCTTATGTGCCGGAGTAACACTTTCTCCTTGTGCCATGCAAGCATGTGCATTCACACTTGTCCAGTGTGCATCAATGTGTGCATGCATGTGAGCACAATTATATAATATGAATGTGTGATATCACTAAAGGATCATGATATAATAAGAAAAGCTCCAATTTAAAATCATTTAGCCTATATTCCAGCTCTAGCTCTTTAGTGTTTAGATAGTTTCATGGGAAAAGAAGACAGCAGAGAGTAGGAGGACATAAAAGCAAATGGGTGTGTTGGTTCGTCCCAGGTACTATGCCACATGATGCACATGCATTAACCTTTTCAATTCCTACACAACCCTTATACGTTTATGAAGTTTTATTATCACAGGGTAACAATTTAGAACATTGGAGTTCTCCAAGGTATAGAAGCCTCAGTTTTCTCCCCTGAAGAAATTATTATGTACACTATAGGTCACAGTTGCTGCAAGGATCAGTTCACACATGCACTTGTGTGAGTGTGTGTGTGTGTGTGAGAGAGAGAGAGAGAGAGAAATACTGTTCTTTGTTTTATCCCAACTGATTGCAGCCTTCTTCAAGCAGTAATGTTTTATCAATCCTCCTCCAGCACCAGCATCCAGGCACAAAGAAAATATTCAATGACTGCTTATTTAATAAAAGAGCTTTAAATCCCTGCAAAATCCACCCTCATACTTCGAGTATAATATGCACAAATAAATATTTATTGTATTTCTTTGAACTAACAGGAAGTCTCTGTTGAGAAATATGTGTGGGACTCCAAGCAGTTCGAATGCACTTCAGCTATACTGAAACATCTATGAAACTAAATATTCTTTAAGTTCCAGCAATTTAGAGCAGCAAATTATCCAAGAAAATGCCAAGTCAATAAACTCCAGAGTAACTTATTTCCTCCCAAATAATTTGAAGTATCTTGTTAATATAATAGTAATATTTGACCAGCCCATAGGATCTCCAAATATGTGTGTATGTGTGGGGTGTGTGTGTGTGTGTGTGTGTGTGTGTATATATATATATATATATATATATTACTTCTTTATTTATTTTAAATTTTTTGTCAAGGTGATGTACAGAGGGGTTACAGTTACATAAGTTAGGTAGTGAGTACATTTCTTGTCAAACTTGTTACCCCCTCCCTCTACATCTTTATTTAATAATACAATTGTTAGTATTCTAAATTAGTGATCAATCAGTCAGTAAATTCCAACAGATGATGGAGACAGAGAAAAATGTTAAGTTCACTTGTTTTTCTAGTTAGTAACTTTCAGTCATATCTACCTTGCTGTCAAAAATTTTAAATTTTACATAGCATGGATTTCTCACCAAAAGTCTCAGTATGTGAGTTTAAACACTTTTGAGACTTGTCTGGAACCAAATGTAAGGAATGTCATATCCTGTAGTATCATCAAAGTTATATGAATACACTATTATATATACATTATTATATATAAATACATTTAATGTATTTATTGACATTTTGAACAGATGATCAACTGTCATTCAAACTTATATTAAGACATTGATGGTTGGATTTTTTTCAGACATTTCTATGACAACCCCATTCAATTTGTTGGAAGATCTGCCTTTCAACATTTACCTGAACTAAGAACATTGTAAGTGTCTATTCCTGTCATAGATCCATTCCCTTACCCACCTTGCTGGATTGCTATGAAGATCAATGAATACCTTAGGTTCAAGTGCTTTGAAAATGGCAATCAAAATTATCCCCTTTCGAGGATCTTCTCCCAATAATACTTACAAATTCCTCCTTCTAGGACTTTGAATGGTGCCTCACAAATAACAGTATTTCCTGATTTAACTGGAACTGCCAACCTGGAGAGTCTGTAAGTCCTTGAATCAGTTATTATTATTGTTATTATTATTATTAACCTTTAAGGAGTCTTATAGAGGGCTTTCCATTCAACATAACAATTTATGAGTACAATGCATCTTGACCAACGTCACCCCTTCCATGGTTCTTCCATGTCTTTCCCCCAACCCTCCTCACCCCTAATTGAATAGGTTCTTAACTTAGCCCAAAACACACACTAGTCTTAAAGCCTGATCAGCCTTAACATCAACAAGTCAAAATACATCACTACATAATGTGTGAATGAAAGAATTTTGTCTGGTTTGTGTTTTCACAGGACTTTAACGGGAGCACAGATCTCATCTCTTCCTCAAACCGTCTGTGACCAGTTACCTAATCTCCAAGTACTGTGCGTATCAGGAAGGCAATCATGTTGAATAAACAGTGCTTCCATTTAGAAATAAAATGGCAGACAGTATTTCAATAATCCTTGTCAGGAACAGAGAGTTCTTTCCTTGAAAGTCTCTAGGAGGTCAATACTCCTCCATTGTCTGCCTAGTTCCAGGTTTACCACCATGAGCATGGTAACAATGTTCATGTACTTTGGTTTTCAAGTGCTCATTAGAATGACAGTTGATAGACATTTTCTTTAGAAAATGAGTCTGAACAAAGGAAAATAACTATTTCTTCTTCTCAAAGCTGCAAAGCAGAACAAAATAGCATAATGGATCAGCTGCACAAGATGAATGCAAAACAAACAACACACAACAATACCAAAAATCAGTTCTCCAACTAGTGATCAAACATTTTTTATGGTATAGCCCAATACCATGTTCTGATCTTTCACCTAGTTGTCAGACAGCTTTCCCATGTTGTTTCTATCAACTTGAAGCCTTTGTTTACCTGTCTTGCCCTTTCCCAAAGTATTCAAAGAGCCTTGTTTAGGCCTTGTACCCTTTTGCAGTTCTCACTCAACTGCACGATAACCAGCCTTCTCTCAAGCCCTCTGGGGACTTAATCTCATGTAATCACTCTGCCCACACAGAGTATACACCTGTCTCTGGAGAATGCCTGTAATTTCACCATTTACGTAATAGCAGAACAACAAACAGCATTACGTATGTTTAATAAAGAATGGCAAAGTCTGGGGCATAATTCTGCCTTACCTCATCCCCAGATCTCAGTTGCTCAGTGGTATGGTGCAACCCATATGGAAGGCTAGAAGTCAGATTCCTGTTTGAAGGAAGGTATAGAACAACATGTGAGGTATAGATATGCTGAGAAAACTAAGAATTGGGAATGTTAAGTATATTTGTCAATGTCAGTAGCCATTTGACTTCAAATACAATTTAATGGGGAGGGAAAAAATACATTTACAACAAGTGGTAGAAATCTGAAGGGGCCTATCTTAGAATTCTGCTTACCACACAAAGAAGAAAATTGTCCACATTTCTTCTCCCTTATTTTTTTTTCCTATTGTGGGGCTTGACCTGGGCCTGGGCACTGTCCCTCAACTCTTCAGCTCAGGAGAGAGTTCTACCACTTTAGCCACAGCGCCACTTCCATTTTTCTGGTGGTTAAGTGGAGATAATTTCCTGACCAGGCTGGCTTTGAACTACAATCCTCAGATCTCAGCCTCCTGAGTAGCTCAGATTACAGGTGTGAACCACTGGCACCCAACCAGTTGTCCACACTTCTTAAGGAAACTGGCTCAGTAACATGACTGGGACTTAAAACTGCATTCTTTCCCCATTGTATCATGCATGTATCCTGTACTTAAGTCGGTAAAGCAGTGAGTATGTGGCTAATATATAGGGAGCCAGTGTTTAAATTGTATCCGTCTCTCCTGTGTTGCAGAGTGACAGTACCCACGTTTGCATGAGTGGAGGCCAGTGGAGCAAACGCTCCAGAACCTATTTTTCCAGTTCCACTCATGGCACAGTGTCTTGAGCAAGTTATTTTCTTTTCTGGGGCTCTGTTTCTCAGTCTATAAAATGGAGACGCAGCCACCTCTTTCAGGAGATCTTCAAAATCGATTATATAATTATATATGATTAAATAATTATAATATGTTAACCCTAACAGAAATTTCTGGGACTTTGTAAAATCTCAAGTTGTTAACTCTATCATCTTTCTTTCTCCATTGTTCTTTGCTTAAGATAGTATTTCTCTTTTAATTTTTCTCCTTTTTTTTTTTTTTTTTTGTCGGTTGTGGGGCCTGTACTCTGGGCCTGTCCTGCTAGCTCAAGGCTAGCATTCTACCACTTTGAGCCACAGCACCACTTCCAGGTTTTTCTACTATGTAGTGCTGAGAAATCGAACCCAGGGCCTCATGCATGCAAGTGTTCTACCACTGAGCCACCTTCCCAGCCCTTTTTCCTTCTTAAGTTTTTATTATATATCATGATGCAAATCACATTTATTCTATAAATGTAAGATAATAACATGATTAATTATAAGAAGAGAATAACTTGAAAACCTCTTAGAAAATTGTATGGATTTTTCAGTTGCTTAGTAGTGATCTGGTTTTAAGAATTAGAGTCAGGCATGGAAAGGTGTTAATTGATTAGCTGATAACTTTTAAAAGTAAGACAATTACACATATATGTGTTACTTAACCAGCTTTCTTTAAAAAGGAGTTCTTAAAATTACTATGGTTTGTCTTAGTTATATTATAGTATAAATATGTCCAGATGTTTTTCTTATTCTGTAATTTGTTGAATTTTGGCTAAAGACTTGAATTTCCCTTCTCCGACTGATTGATTTCAAAGTTACTGCTATGTTTTGAATTGCCGGGTTTTGTTTTAAGTTGATTAGAAAAGAACCAGCAACGATTTCTCTTTGCTGTAGAGATATAGCAGCTTTTAGAGACAGAGGTTTAATTATTTAATTTAATTTGCACTCGTTCCAGTAAGGTAATAGCTGGAACACTGCAGATGATTACTAACAAAATATAAATAAATTCATTAAGCAAATTATTTAAGTCAGTTAAAAAAAAGTATAACAGTTACACTTCAGTAAATATTTGAGTCTGTTGCTTAATAGAATAATGCCTGTGCCTACTTGATCCATGTCAGAACTGTGGAAATGTCTGGAGTCAGTCTTTTGATGGATGTAACATTCTGGAAGGAAAAGGAGAGAAGAGCTGGTGTTCTTATGAATAATATATAACAAATTTCCCTTCTTTTCACCTTCTGTTTTTCAGAGATCTGTCTTACAACCTATTGGAAGATTTACCCAGTTTTTCAGCCTGCCAAAAGCTTCAGAAAATGTACGTCTGTAAGATTTTCTAAGTCACAAAAAAAAAAAGATCCAAACTCACATTTCTTAAGGGTTATTGCTTCTTTACTTTGTAAAAATGTTGGTTCTTTTACTTGCCAGTGGGTTACTAGCAAAACATTTGATGCTTTTCCTTCTTACGCATACAAGATATGACCATGTTGGTTGGCTTAAGAAAGCTGGAAAACTGACAATGCTATGTTTAATTATACATTTTTGTTATCTTCAGGTAGTTGTACAAAGGAGTCACCATTCAGCCGATCAATTTACAAATAGGACAATACATCTTCACTGATGCCACCCCTTTCATCATTCTCCCCATCCCCTCCCCTCAATTTTCTTAATTTCATAGAATATGCACTGAATATTACAAGTGCATTCTTTCTCCACCCCCACATGTGCTTAAATCAGTAAAGCAATTAGTAGGTATGCTTCTCCCTGCCTCTGCCCTCCTGCCCCCAACTTAGTATAATGGTATACTGGGCTAGTCTGAGCATTGGAATTTTTCTCTTTTATAAGTATAACCAAACTTACATGTCCAGAGACTGGTGGTGTGTGTGAATATGGGTGGCCTGGGTTTGTTGACATGTGCATCTCACAATAATCACATTTAGATGTGATTTGAGGCATCCTAGACATTCTGCCTGAAACATTTTGGAATTCTGTTAAAACTCTCTTCCATAAAACATCACCTCCTTCATCGCTCTATCCTCACAGTTCTATTTTCATCTACACAATACTGTCGATTCTTTGGTTCTTAATGGAGAAAACTAAAGAAAACAAATCTTTTAAAGAGTAAGGATTTGACATCCCCAGTGACCTCCAAAGATGATAAGACAGGCTTAGGGAGTCAGGCAAGGAGGGGAGTTGTCAAGTGTTTTGAATGATAATGGCATGTTTAGAATATATCCTCCCAAAGAACTAGCCAGCTGCTTTGATAGCCAGTACTTCTTTAAATGTATAAATTATAATGTTGTTTTGTTTTGTTTTGAAGTACTGGGGATTGAACCCAAGTCCTTGGATATACTGTAATGTTCTTTTTTAAACAAACAAGCAAAAAACAGTCACACTTCATGTGTTTCTTTGATTGAGGGCAGGTTCCTTCTATAAAAGCTCTCAGAAGTCTGTCATCTTTGAAATCAGTAACATGGAAATAAATCTTTTGGAATTCTGTCATTTCAGTGACTTCCGACATAATGGAATCTATGAAATTAAAGCGGACGCTTTCCAGCAGCTGCTTAGCCTTCGATCTCTGTGAGTACCACTGGCCACCACCACACCACCACAACACAAGACAACACAACACAGAACACTTGCTTTCTCTTTTGGATATTCTCTCTAGATTTTTTTTTCCTTTCATGGAATATTTATATTGTTGGGTCTTCGTGCATGTATTTGCTAAGAAAAAGTAAATCTGTTGCTCCTGATAATTTCCAGGAATAAATGCAAAAATAGTACAGTACCAATCAGCAGACATGGAATGCTGATGAAGAGGAGAGAGACTACACTGTCAGAAAGTTTGCAGGATGTGTTTTGTTCCACAGCATGGAACTGGCAGGGATCATTTTGCCTATAAAAATGATGCCCACACAATTCTTCCCGTCTGCTTTTCTCTCCTGATGAAGCAGAAGCTAGATTTGTTTGTTTTGTTTCTAGTGTATATCTTGAAGTGTTTAAGAATCATTTAAGGGTAACAGTGAAAACATAGACTTCAGATCCTCACATGCCTGGAGAAATAGACTCTCTAGTGGTGCCTGAAAATCTATATTTAAATGTATACACTAAAGTTTAAGCACAAGTGTTAAAAAATGTTTTCATTGCTCATGCAATTGAGTTTGTAACTATTCGATTCCATTTGTACATAAAGACAGTGTTTAAAAAATTTAAGCAAGAATACCAAACTTTAATTTTAATTTAAAAATTTTAAATTTAGGAAAAGAAAACTTGCTAACAAATCACTTTATGAAAGCAATTAAAACTTTTATATCCTGAAACTGTACTTGAACATGACTTGTATAAATGATGATGATGCTTAAATGTTTAAACTGAGGTTGTTGGCTTCAGTGACAGTACCTTTGGTAAATAAATAAGGTTCCTTAACGTATTTTAGCTTTACATTTATGAATCACTTTCTCCCCAACATTTACTTTGAGAATAATTATTTTCTATATTTAACTGTGACTTTTTCTTTTCTTACTTTTGGTATAAATCACACACACACACACACACACACACACACACACACACACACCAAAACAACTTTTATTACCTGTATTGTTCAGCAGATTGGAGAGTTCTGGCTGTTTCCAAATGTCAGTTCTATCTTAAAAGGCTGATCTCTAAAGATAGCAGAAGTATGTGGCACAGACTCGAAGCTAAATGCAAGTCTCCCTGAATTCCGTCTCCCCTTAGCCTCCTATCCAGACACTCATCACACTGCCAACTCTAAGTCTTTACTCTTCTACCACAAGGTCAGTCATGGGGTTTGAACTCCAGGCCAGGGCATTTTCCCTCAGCTCTTCAGCTCAAGGCTAGCACTCTACCATCTGAGCCACAGCACCACTTCTGGTTTTCTGGTGGTTTATTGGAGTTAAGAGTTTCACAGCTTTATTGCCTGGGCTGGCTTTGAACCGTGATCCCCAGATCTCAGCCTCCTGAGTGGGGTGAGCCATTGGAGCCCAGCTCACAAGGCACTTTTAATGACTCCCCCAGATCACCACCTTCCTCCTCTTACAATTGATCTCATTCTTCAAGAGCCATAAAAGCAATCTTTTTTTGTTTGTTTCTTTGTAGGGTGTGGGGCTTGAACTCAAGGACTAGGCACTGTTCCTAAGCCTCTTTGTGCTCAAGGCTAGTGCTCTACCACTTGAGCCACAGTGCCACTTCTGGTTTTTGAGATAAGAGTCTCACAGGGACTTTTCTGCCCAGGCTGGCTTCAACCTGTGATCTTCGGATCTCAGCCTCCTGAGAAGCTAGTTCATGCTACTCACCAGCACCCAGCTAGCAAGCAACCTTTCTTAAGTCAAAGTCTACTACTTCCTACTTCCTATCACTGCCTTGGTACCTTCAAGATCAAGACTAAACTTTCCAGATCCACTCTTCAGCTTCAGACTCCAAACTCCTGGGTCAGTGCTGGGGCTTAGGGCCTAGGTGCTGTCCCTAAGTTTTTATTTTTGCCCAAGGCTGTTGATCTACCACTGGAGGCACAGCTCTGCTTTGAAAGCAGCTTTTTGGTGGTTAAGTGGAGATAAGAGTCTCTCAGACTTTCCTACCAGAGGTGGCTTTGAACTGCTTTCCTCAGTTCTCAGCTTCCTGAATGGCTAGGATTACAAGCATAAGCCACCTTTGCCCAGCCATATTTTCAGTTTTTAAAGTAACTTTCATATTTATTTCCATAGTGACTAGATTAATTTATATTCCCACCAATAGTTTCTTTATACATCCTCATCAGCAAATGTTAGTTTTTCTTGATGATACTTATTCTGAGCAGGGTGAATGGAATACCAGTGTTGTTTGGACTTGCATTTTCTTTATGGATATTAAACATTTTTCATGTATTTATTGGTCATTTGCATTTCTTTCAAGAACTATGTGTTCAACCAATTTGACCTTTTACTGATTGGATTATGTGCTCCTTTGATATTTAAATGTTGTTTCATTTTTTATATGTTCTGGACATTAATATTCATCAGATGAATTGCTGGCAAAGATTTTCTCCCATTCTGGAGACTTTCTCTTTACTCTCTGTCCTTTGCTATGCAGAAGCTTTTTTTTATTTGATATAATCCCCTTTGTCAACTCTTGCTATTATTTCCTGAGCTATTGGAATCCTACTTAGAGAGTCCTTGATACAAGCTGGCATAATGGTACATGCCTGAAATCCCAGCTCTTGGGAGGGATAGGCAGGAGGATTGTGAATTCAAACCACCTTAGACAGCTCTAGGCCATTTAGTGTTACATAGTGAGACCTTGTCTCAAAAAAAAGGAAAAAAAAAAAAGATACTGCCTGTGTCTATATCTTAAATGTTAAGTCTCCTGTGTTATAGCAAACTCTTTGATCTATTTTTGAATTGATTTTCACATAGAGTGAGAGATTAATATCCAGTTTCAGCCTCCTATATGTAGAAACTAGTTTCCTAATACCATTTGTTGAAGAGGCTATCTTTTCTTTATTTTATTTATTTATTTATTGTCGGTCATGGGGCCTGAACTCTGGGCCTGGGCACTGTCCCTCAGCTCTTTGGCTCAAGGCAAGCACCCTACCACTTGAGCCACAGCACCACTTCCAGCTTTTTTCTGCTTATGTGGTGCTGAGGAATCGAACCCAGGGCCTCATGCTTGTGAGGCAAGCACTCTACCACTGAGCCCCAAGGCTGTCTTTTTTTTAAGGTGTTTTTGGCAACATTGATGAGAATCAGATAGCTGTACCTTGTGCATCTTCTATTCCATTGGTCTACATGTCTGTTTTCCTGCCAGTACCATGTTGTTTTGGTTACTCTGCTTCTGTAGTAGAATGAAATTTTATATTATGACACCTTCCTCCAACAATATACGTTTTGTTGAGAATTGCTAGGCATTTTTTATTTTTTTTTGCTAGACATTTTTTAAAAATTAAAATTCGTTTCAGATTTGTGATTGCATAACATAAGTACAATAAGGAATGGGACTTTCCCTGAAATCCTGAAGCACTGAACATTTAATTCTAACGTATTTCTATCTTACTGTCTTTGTAAATGTTATATTTCTAAATTCTATGACTTTTTTATAATCTGGTATAAAAAAATTAAAATTCATCATTAAAATACAGAAGTTCTTAATCTCTTTAGAATCATCTAAGTTTTTGGAAAAGGTTTTAGTACTGCTAAAAGTTGTTTTCATTTCATTACATGTGTGGTAAGTGAATTTTATTTCCCTATAAACTGTACTTTTTTTCTATGCTATCAAAAGATTTTATTTGTAACACATGTTTGCCCCTATTTTACTCAAATCCTAGTCAGAAATTTAATTGTCTGTATCTGTACTGGAAATTTTCTCGAAAGCATCTCTGTGTGCATTTGGTGACCTGTCATACATGGATAATGTGTACACATTTCTGGTTGGAGGTGTCTGTAAATATTTTATAATTTAAAATTTACTCATCAGAAGAAGATCCTTGGAAATGTATCTCTTCCCACTGTCCTACATCTAAAATTTTACAACCCTATTAAAGTCAACCTTTTTAACAAGAACACAGTAAAAACTAAAAATATCTACATGAATGACTGGGCTTGATTGCTTTATACAAAATAAACTTAAAGTTCTCCCTTTAGTTATTTTATACCACCAGTGTCTATTGGAAGTACAACTCAATGGGCTAAGGGTTTCTGATCTGAAATAAATTTTGGTACAGGACTGCATACATATGGTTAACTTCATATTCTTTTTTTCTTTAATGTCATGTTTTCATTTGTCTTTTTTTTATAAATAGAAATCTGGCTCGGAATAAAATTGCCATTATTCACCCCAATGCATTTTCCACTTTGCCATCTCTAATAAAGCTGTGAGTATATCATTTCTTGTATGATATATCTTTTAATACTTGGAAATCATCTAATTAATGAAATTGATGATTTTGCTGAAGAAGGTTGCAATACAGATTGCTAGTCCTATGTATGCTACAGGCCTAAATCTGGGTCAGGACCTGGGAGGAACCTAGACAAGGGCCTAGGGGCCTTTAAGTGTGTAATTGAAGAGCTGTATGTCAGCTGGTTCTAGTTATTTAAGTAGTGTTATCGATTCTTGTTGAGTAATAAGAATAGAATAAGCTGTCAAGCCATTTGTGAAGGGCATCCCTTGTATTGTTTGCTGTTTGACTGAGAAAACTTTTCTATTTTCCCCCTCCTTTTCTAATCTCTTGCTTCTTCCTCTCTTTCATTAAATGGAGAAATTGGGGATTGATCAGACAGAAGTGAAAAGAAGAAAGGGAGCAATTGCTACCATTCATTTTTAATGAAAAGTAGTACTTTCTCCTTGGTGGTGAGGTCTCCACTTGGTAAAATGAAGACAAATAAACAATTTGCGATTAAAATGTTTTTCCTGGTTTGTAATTTTGATGGTGAATAGAAAAGTTATCAGGAGCTAAAGCCAAAGTGGTTACTTTTACCATAAAGAGTAAAGATCCTGCTTAGAAATTTTTTATTGAGCAGTTTAATCATCTTTAGGTTCCTTTTTTTTTTTTAAGAAAAAAAATCAACATTTTATGCTAACACAGTCTAAAACGCCAATTGTTGTTTGATGTTTTGCAGGGACCTATCGTCCAATCTCCTGTCGTCTTTTCCTGTAACTGGGTTACATGGTTTAACTCACTTAAAATTAACAGGAAATCATGCCTTACAGAGCTTGATATCATCTGAAAACTTTCCAGAGCTCAAGTGAGTTTGTCATTAAAACTAATAAGATACATTTGTGGTCATGTAAAATAAAAGACATGTTAGGGTTGTTTTCTAAATTTATGAGGTCACGAGACCCTTTTGAATTGCATTTCATGCCCTCAAAGTTCCTCCTCCTTGGAACATTGTTAGGACAAGTCCTAAATGGGAGAATGTGTCTTCCTGACCACATTTCCTTTCCTTCTGAAAGAAAGTTCTAGAATAACAGACTTCATGGAAAGAGTTTGAAAACCACTGATTCCTGGGCTGTACACTAGGACATGTCATTAAATAACCTTATAACATTGTTTACTTCTGTTTATAATTTCTAATTCATCTGGCTGGCGTGTATGTTCTAATAAAAGATTTTAGATTAATATTTGTTTGTGCAAATCATGCCTTAAAATCCTATTATGATCAATGATAAAGAAGTATCTTGAAGGATTATATTTTACCTGTTTTAAATCACTTTTATATACCTTTAAAACTGTGAGAATACCATAACCCCCCAAGGATAGTTCCAAAAATAGAAAAGAGAATAATATCGAAAAACTAAATCCCTAAACATTTGAAAAAAAAAATCTTTCTGGACTTCGTTTCATGTATTTTTGGAATTGAAGAAAAATATGAACCCCTAAACAAGTTTTTAAATATTTTATTTCTCTCTAGACTATGTGTCATGTATTTTTAGAATCACTTTTCATGTATTTACTAGCATAAAAAGTTCATAGAAGTTTATGTGCCAGTTACCTAATACTAAGTCATAATATTGCTATAATATTCTTAGCAGTTATTTTAAAATATTTTTATTATGGAACTTTTCTAACATCTGAGTGATAGAAGTTTCAACTATCAACATTCCATGGTAGTAATTTTTAATAATTCCACTGTGGTTATAAATAGCACTAGAATGAACATGTTTATAGCCGAGCTTATATTTTGGATTGTTTACTTAGGCTAAACTCCAAAGGTAGGATTATTGGGTGGAAAATGATAAAGATAATATTTAATGACCTGTCTTTCTAAGTGTGTGTTTTGGTTTTGATTTCTGTCTCTTTAAAGAGTTATAGAGATGCCTTATGCTTACCAGTGTTGTGCATTTGGGGTGTGTGAGAATGTCTATAAAATTTCGAATCAGTGGACTAAAGGAGACAATAGCAGTTTGGATGATCTTCATAAGAAAGATACTGGAATGTTTCAGGCTCAAGGTAAGACCTAGTATGTCCTGGTGAAAAACTGTAATTGGAAGAGTCTTGAAATTTCATTGGGTAGATTAATTATTTGAACTTCAGATCAGAACATGTACACCCACCTTAGCAAAAGGAAAACCAATCCCACTTTCTACAGACCTGCAGAGAAAGAGTGAGCTCCTTTGGAATTTATTCTAAAATATCTTTGTTCTGAATTCTTAGCGTTGATATTTATAATTAGACCTTCCTTCCAATACATTGTCCTCAGGGACAATAAACTTCTGAAAGGGCCCATTCTTGTCGATGCTTCTTTTAAACATACTTTTGTGCCTTTTTCTGTGGGATACAAAATCTACTTTATTCTGGATGTGGTGCTGTGGTTCAAGTGGTAGACTGCTCGCTTTGAGCTGAAGAGCTGAGGGACAGCGCCCAGGCCCAGAGTTCAAGCCCCACGACCGACAAAAAAATAAAAATAAAAATAAAGTAGCAAAATCCACTTTATTCTTACAGCCTGGAGAGACATTTTAGAGCCCTCCAAATTTCAGCAGAAGAGCTTAAGAATTCACCTTCCTATCCAACTGCTTCTAAATCATTCTTCCCTCCTACCCCCCACAGGGGTATCTGTCAGGAAGGTGAAATGAGATCATGTCTGTATAGCTTGGCTTTCCTTGAAGGAAGACGTTACTTAAACAGACAGCAATGCATCTCAACCACACCTGTGGTAACGAAGGGGCCCGTTGGATAGCAGCCCCTCCTTTGCCTGCCAATCCTACGAGTTTGTACAGGGTCTAAATAGAATGATTTCACATTCTTTGGGCCTTAATTATTTGTTGATTCCAAAGCAAGTGTGATCTGGTCTATTGGAAGATTACCTTAACATTTCTTCCTGCAATATTCAGGTCTTATATTTTGGTCTTTGGTTTTCTTTGGTTTAGGCCACCACATATATCTTGATCTCATTTTTGCTTTAGGTTTTGCTCATCCTGCATCACCTACTTTATTCATTGAAAACAAAACTATTATAAAGAGAGAGCACCTACTCTGTGCCAGGTAGCACAGTAACTTCTCAAGATACACAATAGAGATCAGGTGCTTTTGGAAGTTTATTTTCAAAACCAGTGCTTCTCAACCCTGTATTGCATGTGAGAATTAAACAGAAACTTAAAAATATTGTTGCCCACATCTCACAAAAGGCTGACTAAATCTGCATCTTTAGGAAAGCATATTAAATTATCAAATTTCTAGTTTGTGGCACTAAACCAAGCACCAAGTTCTGATTTTTTTTCTCTCATGTAGAAATATCCAGGGAATGCTGAAACTCACTGTACCTAATTCAGGCCCAGAGAACACAGCCCAGAACATTTGTACTGTAGCTATCATAGTGTTTGAAAATCTGATAAAATGGTCCCTGCCCTGAATGAAGAGACCCCCCAGCCTCTCTCTAATTTAGTCATTGGGATGTGGGGCCATCTTGAACTCTTAAGGAAGAAAACAATGAGAGAGTCCTTGATGTCATTCACTAGAGTCTTGCTTATTCTCTTCAGCCCCAGTTGTACTGGAAAATTGTGCCACGGCAGCTTGAACAGGACATAGGAACACACTTGCAAGAAAGCCAAAAAGAGCAGAGAAAGTACAAAGTCTTACTTTCATTTCTCTTTTTGACAATTCATTTCTCAAGGGCAACTCATGACTCTTCACTGGGAAAATTTGATCCTTTGAAAAGGGGAGTCAGACAGAACTAATTGTTCTAGGACTTCTCATTCCTTACAGATGAGCGTGACTTTGAAGATTTCCTGCTTGACTTTGAAGAAGACCTGAAAGCCCTTCATTCAGTGCAGTGTTCACCTTCTCCAGGTAAGAAGGCATCAGCAATGATGTCCGGGGCCACTGATACCACAGAAGCTGTATGCCCTATGGCTCATCATTTTCCCTCCTTATAAGGATTATTAAAATACAAACAGGTGTTCATTCCTTAAAGTTATTCCCTATTTACAAACAGAACATTTGTGAAGGACTACTGATTCAAGTTCATGTAAGCCAAAGAATAAAACATGTAATTAGGAATATGAGTTTTTTTAAATGACATTAGCGATTCAGCCTGAACTAGCTGTGTTCTAACATACTATTTCTTGCAAACTAATCAGGGACTACTGATTCAGGTTAATACAAACTAAAGAATGAAACATGTCATGACATTGGCAACTTAGCCAGAAACAGTATGTTGTGGTCTCACATTTACTTTTGAAAGTAAATTAAATCATTTATATAAATAACTATGTGGGAACCAAGGAAGTAGCTTGGGGTCAGAGCACCTGTATACACAAGAATCTAGATTCAATCCCCAGCACTTAAATAATAATGATGATGATAATAATAATAATTGGTGACAGCAAATATTAGATATGTAAAAGAGAAAGGAAGAAGGAAGAGGAAGGAAGGTCTTCATTGTTCCATTCCCAGAAACAACATTCATAGATAGCTATGAAGGGTTAATATTTTATTTTTAATAATTAGAACATTCCTTAGTCTGATCACCAAGTGTCCATCTAAAACAAAGCTGAGATCTCCCTATTTCCCTAAGATTCTTTTTCTCTCCTTCTCTTCTCCTCTCTTTCTTTCTCCTCTCTGTGGAATATAATGAAAAGTCCAGGAGATCTTGTTTTTCACATGGGCCCAACACTGTTGTGTCTTGGGGGCTTTAACAAACCAGTTTTCCTTGTGTAGCTCCCAGGAGCAGTAGTGCCTGGTTATTTGAGAAGGTGATGCAGACACACAGACACTGTGAGTTCTGGTTTGTGACTGGTATCCTAACACACAAGAAGGTGGTTTGGCCAAAGATCACAACCCTTCCTTAATGCTGTTTTTTTCTTCTTTGGACTTTCAGGCCCCTTCAAGCCCTGTGAGCACTTGTTTGGTAGCTGGCTGATCCGAATGGGAGTGTGGACCATAGCAGTTCTGGCACTTTCTTGTAATGCCCTGGTGACTTCAACGGTGTTCCGCTCGGCTCTGTACCTTTCCTCCATAAAACTGTTAATTGGGGCCATCGCACTGGTGAACCTGCTCATGGGCATCTCCAGCGCTATGCTGGCGGTCGTGGATGCATTCACCTTCGGCCGCTTCGCACAACATGGTGCATGGTGGGAGAATGGGGTCGGTTGCCAAGTCATTGGCTTTCTGTCCATTTTTGCTTCGGAATCATCGGTTTTCCTGCTTACTCTGGCAGCTCTGGAACGTGGGTTCTCTGTGAAGTGTTCTGCAAAATTTGAAATGAAAATTCCCTTTTCTGGCCTGAAAGCGATCATTCTATTCTGTTCCCTGCTAGCCCTGACCATCGCCACGGTTCCACTGCTGGGCGGCAGTGAGTACAACGCCTCCCCATTTTGCCTGCCTCTACCCTTTGGAGAGCCCAGCACCACAGGCTACATGGTGGCTCTTGTCCTGCTCAACTCTGTTTGCTTCCTCATCATGACTATTGCTTACACCAAGCTCTACTGTAATTTGGAGAAAGGAGATCTGGAGAATATGTGGGACTGTTCTATGGTGAAACACGTTGCCCTGTTGCTCTTCACCAACTGTATCCTTTACTGCCCCGTGGCTTTCTTATCCTTCTCTTCTCTGCTAAACCTCACCTTCATCAGTCCTGAAGTCATTAAGTTTATCCTGCTAGTGATTGTCCCACTTCCCGCATGTCTCAACCCCCTTCTTTACATCCTCTTCAATCCCCATTTCAAGGAGGATCTGGGGAGCCTGGGAAAGCAAACCCACTTCTGGATGAAATCAAAACATCCAAGCTTGATGTCTATTAACTCGGATGATGTTGAGAAGCAGTCTTGTGACTCAACCCAAGCTCTGGTCACTTTCACCCGTGCCAGCATAGCCTACGACCTGCCTTCCAATTCTGGATCGTCATCGGCTTATCCCATGACTGAAAGCTGTCATCTCTCATCGGTGACATTTGTCCCTTGTCTCTAATTAGTCTATGAGGGGTAAAGTTTTCAAAAGTTGGAAACATGAAATGTGAGATTGAGGACATCAGAACAGTAGCTAAGAGCTGAGCTGAAACTTGGTTTAGAAACCAAATAAGCAACTTGTTAAAGTGGAAACGCTGATACCTATTAATACTTGACAATGAAAACGTAAGTCTAAACGCTGCTTACATCATTTGTTCAGTTAGGGGATAGATTGTTCACATTATATAGATAAGCCTGGATAGACAAAGCAGATTGAAATGGTCTTCAGAAAAAGATCCTCCTTGATTTTAATGGCATTTTCTTTCAACTCAACCGAAGTTATGATTTAGGAGAACTCATGCACTTACAAATTGGTTTGATTTAAACTCCCAAACTCCTTAAAAGATGGGTTAGCAAGGTTACAAAAATAAAGGTTTAAATAGCGTATATTACTAAGTAATGTTTGTAGTCTCTAGAATTTATTTTTAATGGCCACATGTTGGTAGTTCATGCCTGAAATTCTAGCTACTCAGGAACTGAGAATTGAGGATTGTGGTTCTAAGCCAGCCCAGACAGGAAAGTCTTTGAGGTTCTCATCTCCAATTAACCACTAAAAAGCTGGAAATGGAGCTATGGTTCAAGATGTAGAGTGCTATCCTTGAGCAGAGAAAGCTCAGGGACTGTGCCCAGGCCCTGAGTTCAAGCCCCGGGATGCACATAAAACAAAGGTGAGGGAGGAGGAGGAGGAGCAGCAGCAGCAGCAGGAGGAGGAGGAGGAGGAGCAGCAGCAGCAGCAGCAGCAGGAGGAGGAGGAGGAGGGGGAGGAGGAATTTTGTTTTAATGACTACATGGAGGTATTTCACTCTTTCTTTGTCTTTCCTCAAAGAGGATCCCTCCAAGGCCCAGTCCATTGAAAGGATCACCCACTCATACTCATATCATTTTAGGAGATAGTGGGTTTTATAATAGGCACTAAAATGCCCCCACCCTCAATGAAATACAAATATTTTGAAAGGAAAATTAACTAAAATTCTTCAATTGCTACTAAGGCAATCATGTATAGGTAAAATTTGTCTTGTCTAATTCATTCCTATTTGTTGATGTCCAAAGCTCAGAAAGAAAGTCCATTGCTGGCAGTGGACACACCTAGAAAAGATAGTAAGCAATATGAACACTGTGGGGTTTTCGGGGGGGGGGAGGATTTCTAAGTAAGTATACATCCTTTTTGCAAGACATTTTGTCATTTACTTAAATGGGTGTGCATCTTTAGATAATATCAAAAGCAGACATGATATAAATTAAATCCACTGATATAAGTTCTCATATTGCCTCCAGTAGTTTCAGCACTAAGATCTGACATCACTTTAGACTCAGTTGACACTTGGTAATAGACTATGTTTATTTGGTTTGTTTTACCTCTGTGTTCTGTGAATCAGCTATGTGATGTGAGGAGCATTATTTCTCTGCTTCATCTGTGTTAGATACTTTAAGAGAGAAATTATTAAATATGAAGCCAAAAGATTAAAATTTAACTTCTATTATCCTACATTAGCTTCATTACACACAAATCAGAAGGCTGTTAGGTAGATTTATTTTTGTATAAGCATGTTTATTTTGATCAGATGTTTTAAATTGGAATTGGAAATAAATACATTTATGAGATGTTTATAAGATGTGTAAATGTAAAACTGTATTTATTACTACAGTAAAGGTTCATTGACACAAAAGACCAAGATAATAAACCATGTACAGAGCCTTATTATTCCATATATGTTGTGCTTCTAATTTTCTTTCAGTATGTTAACTGTATATAAAATATGTAAATATATTGTACTTGTAAATAGATTCCAAATTTGCTTTTCTATTGGATACAAAATGAATTTGTAATAAAATGTGTGACTATAAGATGTAATATTTTCAAGTCTATTTATTGAGCCCCTATAGTTTCCTACAGTTTTTAATTTTGGTGTATATTTGTTATATAACTATTTATACTCTAATACTTTGGAATAACCTTAAAAACTAAACTTTTCATAAAAATAAATCAAAATATCACCTCCAAATCCTGGATGGTCCTATACTGGCTAAAAAGGAGTTCTACCACTTGAGCCATACTTGCAGTCACTTTTTGCTTCCTTGGTTATTTCTGAGAGAAAATCTCAGTTTTATTACTGGGCAGGCTTAGGCTGCAGTCTTCCTATCTGTGCTTCCCTTTGTCACTGGGATGACAGACCCACATCAACTATATCCAGCTGTTGTGTTTCCTCTGCATCTGGTATATCAACTACACACTAATACACCTAGCTATTTAGTTATGATGGAGTCTCTCAAGCTTTTATATCTCGGTTGGCCTTGAACCTTGACCCCCTGATCTCCACCTCCCACATAGCTAGGATTACAGGAGTGACATTAACTTTTGATTGGTAAATGATGTTTGTCCTGATACTGGTCTAGTGTTCTGTCCTTAGTGAAATTATACTGGTCCCAATTTTTTCTTCACAATATAGAGGGCAAAATATAGCTATACACAAAATCAGAAAGATATTTATAAATAACAAATAGATTTTAAATTATACAGCAGAACATGAGTTTTCTATTTTTCTTTCAAACACATTTTGTGACCAAGTCAAGCCCCAAAATTTGCAGGCACATGACTGTCAGAGTTCAGAGAAATGCTCTGGTCCCTTTCAGTTCTATCATACAAAACATAAGAAGTGAAGTGATCTTTATGGATGACTGTGCCAGACCCTTCCAACCTCCATGGTGATTCCTGAGCTAACTGTGTGGTTTAGTAAGTGGCTCAGAACTATTGCTAAGATCAGCTCATGTTTACAGAGCACTTGCTCATCAGATATCAACAACATGCTTCAGTGTCCTCCTAGTTAACATGAGCTTCGATTATTGTGAGGTAAAAGAAGGGCTTGTTCCTCCTCACCTCACTCTTCTTAATCCAGGCAGCAGACACAGAACTTGCCCCTGGAGTTATGTGGCCCAGTCCTTCTTCTCTCTATACTTATTTTTGGATAGCCAAAATTAGGAACAAGTCCTGACGGCTCATCAGTCTCTCCTGTTCAAGAAAGCACAAGTCAGTAATGTAATTTGTTAAAAAGGAAACCACTTTTGGACACTCCAACTTTCTTCATTAAAAATAAATCCTTGGGAAAGATTGGGAGAATCTTTGAGCGAATGATAATAGGGATGACACTGACCAAGATGGATTGTACTCATAAACCAACTGTTGAAGTGAAACCCTTTTGTATAACTACTTAAAATTATCAAAATAAGATAAAATAAGATCCCCATCAAATAAGGAGTATAGCTCATGTGATAGAGTGCTTGCTTTACCCTGTGTTCAAACACTTTTCTGAAGCAACAAACAAAAATCTTCAAGTGGGCTTATGGTATGGCTCAACTGGTATATGAAATTTCTAAAACCTTGAGTTCAAATTCTTGATACTAAAAAAAATTTTTTTAAATGTTCTATTACTTTGCTAGCAAAATGCTAGTTACAATACATCTCATGCAAAACATAGCTCTTTTAAGTGTTTATGAAAGGACTCCCCTTTAACAAATGAATAAATCTTCCATGAGAATAGGAGGCAATTGCAACAAATATGGGAAGAATATCAGCAGAAATGATGAAAGAAGCAATGCAAAGTGAGTTGTTCAAGTAACAAGTTTATGTTTTCAAAATACATTCATTCAAAGCCAGGCACCAGTGGCTCACACCTGTAATCCTAGCTACTCAGGAAGCTGAGATCTGAGCATTGCGGGTCCAGCCCATGTTTCTAGCCTGGGCAGGAAAGTCCGTGAGACTCTTATCTCCAACTAACCACCAGAAAACCAGAAGTGGCACTGTGGCTCAAGTGGTAGAGCACTCACCTTGAGCTGAAGAGCTCAGAGACAGCACCCAGGCCCAGAGTTCAAGCCCCATGGCCAACCAAAAAAAAAAAATCATGCATAGTATAAATATTTTAAGCTTACTTGATGCAGTGTTTGATGCACTGGAGATAACAAAACCAAACTTCTCATTTGTATTCCAGTAGAAGAGAGAAACAGACAACAAGCAAATACACACAAGGAAATATCTGATAGGAACATGAATGAAGGAACTGAGGCAATTCTGATGAACAGGCATACTATTGCATAAACTACTGCATCTCCTACTCCCCTGAAGATACAGAGCCAGGAAATCTGGAAAGGCATCTTTATTGCTGAGATTTTATGTTTAAAATGGGACCATCTCTGCTTTTACATGTAACCAGTTACATCAAGAAAACGCATAATTTTTAGTCCCTCTGTCATATGTCCTGTAGAACAAACTATTGTGAGTGACATTTTAATAGGAAAATATATTAGGTGATTGTGACTGCACATAATTTTTTCTCAATTGTTCCTAAAGAAACAGTTATTCTTTTTTTTTTTTTTTATGATCCGATCACGGGGTCTGAACTCTGGGCCTGGGCGCTGTCCCTCAGCTCTTCAGCTCAAAGCTAGCGCTCTACCACTTGAGCCACAGTGCCACTTCCGGCTTTTTTCTTTTTGCTTATGTGGTGCTGAAGAATTGAACCCAGGGCCTCATGCATGCAAGGCAAGCACTCTACCACTGAGCCACCTTCCCAGCCCCAAAAAATTTATTCTTATATGAAATATAAAACATCTTTTCATTTAGTTTTGTCCAAAGAAAAAGAAAAAAGAACAGGGTGGTAGTAAAGGAAATAAATTTAGGAACATCCTTTTCATTTAGAACTAGGAAATCTCAAATATCTGAAAAATTAACAATGTCCATTTTTTATTGCCTTATTACATTTAGCTTGGATCCATTACTAGAATAAGACCTAAATAAATCAACCAGAGTTTATTGTAACCATTTTGTTCCACTCATGCTCTTCATTACTTGGAAATCTTATTTTACAGTTAAACTCTGAAGAGAAAACAGACGATCTCCCTTCAGGCTACAGAGACCCTAAAATATAGTTAGCTTTTTCTTATGGTAGCTTCTTCTTAATAAATATCTAAACCATACCCAATTTTAATATTCTCCTTATGAGTGTGTTTAAAATGCTGAATTCAGATCCTAAACTCATCACTTGTCTCCAACACAGGTTTCAGCAAGTCTAATCTTTTGAGTAAGATAATAAAACTAGTTTGTTTGGATATGAAAAACTGGTGAAAAACAAATTGCATGTGTTGTACAGAAGGAGCACCATGAAATACAAGTTATTGTGGACATGATTTCTCTGCTCTAGTTACTACACTATAAAAGGACAATGAAAACATGATAGTCCATGAAACAGGGAGCCAGGAACATGGAATAATTATTAAAGGATTGTCCAAAAAAAAAAAAAAAAGCAGGGTGGGGGGAGTGCTTCACTTGGAAGTAAAGAGGGCTAACGGAAAACATTTGAGATATGTGAATATTTACTAAGTGCTCTTTTCAAGTTCCAGCATAGAACAGACCAAATAGGAAAATGGTGAAGCCCAGCTCACAGTCCTGGGTTTAAAAGCTTGTCTGTT